TGCATTGTAACAGAATCAAACTGTAAATTATATATTTACACAGAACGTGTTGTCAGAGATCAGGAAGGCTGTGACTGTAAAATCTAATTATGTTTCAGATCATTCAAGTGATCCTCTACAGATATTTCCTGTTATTTTATTTTTGAAAAATCCAAAAATTGAGGCTGAAATGTGTAAAATGAACAAGTGTTTAATCACTATTTTCAGGTTTTTTCCTCAGTGGTGGCTGCTGTCTGCGGTTCAGCCTCAGGAGAGTCTGTCCTGAACACAGTGTGAGTTCAGTGATGCGTTCAGGATCATCACGAGTTAATCGTCAACGTGTCCCGATGCAGCCGGTGAGGACGTGACTGGGTTCGTTCAGCTGCCGCCTGCAGCCTGATGTCACACATTAAAGACATCAGAGCTGTTAGTTATTAAAATATTTGCAGATGAGTCTTTGTCAGTATTTCTGAGAGTTTCATCATCAGCCTGCGTTCATGCTGCAGGTTTACTCTCATCTCAGCACCGATCCGGATTCACACTCACACGTCCAACTGCAAACAGCTGGAAAACAGTACCGCAGCGACCAGACCGGGTCTGAAGACCAGCATTAGTCCGGTTTGTTTTGAGGAACAGAAGACGGAGAACTGACGAGATGAAACAGGAACAAGAATCAGTGCAGAGAAACGTCTTATAAACTGATCTGGGTTCTCTGTACAGTCAGGTGATTGAGAACCGTGTGGTTCTGTTGGTCCCTGACAATGATCGACTGAACCCATCAGATGAACAGCTGCAGGTTCTAGCTTGTGCTCTATCTTCATGAGGAAACTACTGGAAAGTAAAACTAACCCTTGGATTCACAGACAAAGGTTCTCCTGAGGACGTTCCTGTTCTCTCAGCTCCTGACAGGTTCCACTCAGGTTCCAGAGAACCGATCATTTGTTCTTTAGACTTCGAGAAGTCTATCCTCTGAGACACTTCAAACATGTTGTTGTTAGAAAGCTTCAGTGTTCCTGCAGAGAACCACAAGGTTCTACACTGGGTCCATTTGGTTGCTAACGGGACCCAATAATGGTTCTTTGCAGTAATGTCATAGAGGAAGTTCTTTAGTTGGACAAAGAATCTTTCAGCAAGAGGTTCTTAAATGAACCAAAAATGGTTCCCTAATGCACCTAAATGGTGCTCCTAAGGATTTAGAACACGTTGAACATTCTGGGTTGTGACCTGCTGGTCAGACAGAAGAACATGTTCTAAGATGCCAGTTTGGGATTTGATAAACTTTTCTCTGGTTTCTGATCTTTTATCAACCAAATAGTTTATCCAGAATAAAATGATGTTTAGCTGCAGCTTCATGAAGAACCTTTAGGGAACCACACAAATAGGTGAAGAGCCAATAGGTTCTTAAGTTGGCGATGGAGCTTTGAAGAACCAGAGAATGTTCCGAAGAACCAGTTAGCGCCTTGTAAGTTGTCTGAGTGGAGCACCACAGGGTTCTGTACTAGAGCCCGGTTAGGTTCTGTTGAGTCTGTTTGGAGAACATGTCATCTGATACACTTTAGTGATTCTATTTAATAAACTCTGAGAGAACAAACAGGACCTGGAAGAAACAAACTTCAGCTTTGCAAGAAAACATTGAGTAAAAATACTCTGATTACATCCTCCTTGGTGAGTACCAGTAATCTGCTGCTGTCGTCACAGTGAAGCTTTGTTGCCGTGGACGCTTCGTTTTACTGCCTCAGACGTCACATCGTAGATCAAAGTGTTCTGTCGTTTAACACAGAACCTCTCTGATGAAAATCCTTCAGATCTCTTCACACAACTCAGAGTTCGGTTCTGACCGTGTTGGAGGTTGAGCGCTACTCGGTCCGACCCAGTGAGACTTTTCCAGAAACGAGTTCTGGAGGAGTGGTGCTGTTTCTGTCCCTGACCTTCTTCCTGCTGCTGAACACTGAGCTGAATGTTCCCCTGACAGAGCTCATGTTTATCTGCAGGATGAGCGGATGAGGGAGTGAATGGAGGCTCTGTGTGACTGAGTGAGACCTCCTGACCTCCTGACCTCCTGACCACGCTTCCTCTGGCTGTCACTGCAGACGTGAGGAGGATCTGCAGAGGAACCAGGGTCTGCTGCTCTCTGGGCCCTCTGAGAACCATCACAGCTGATCCGGCCACGGTTCGACCTGAGGAAACACTTGAACGTTCGTCTGCAGGAGCTGCTGAACATACAAGGTGGATCCAAAAGACAGGCAGGACTCACCGCTCCCACCGAGGAGAAGGAGAAGAGAGAACATGACGAGGAACAACGACCACAAACACTCCTCCTGCTGTCCTCCGGCAGGAAGCTGAACATCTTTGGACTAAACTAGACGTTTGAGGAACGCTGATCCACAGTTTGTGACGTTTTAGAACCAAACAGCTGCTTGATCCAGAAAAATAATAAAATAATGACCTGAAACAAGACAGAAGCTCCGACATCGGACCCAGAACCAGAACCAGAGTCAGCGGTCTGTGATGAGACAAATCAGCTTCATCAGATGTTACACCTGAAAACTGATCCATGGAGACACACACA